CATCTTTTCTTATTTGTATCATATACATATTGTCTTTGTTTCTTACATATAGGTTTTGTAACACGTAAGAGCATATGTTGCACGTAGACCTGAGGCTAGTAAATAAAAAAAAAAAGAAAAGAACAGAAAGTAGTTTTTGGAATATTTATCGAGACATCTGGAGCCAGTTTCTAATTTTAATTATGGGAACAAACTTGGGACATTCTATTAAATTCTCCACTATTTCTCAATTAATAGTGTAACATGACCTTTCCCCTCGGGGAGTTGAAGTAATTTTAATTAAAGCTCATGTTTGCTGAAATCCTTTTAAGAGAAACCATGCTTTTCTAAAAATCTACCAGCTGCTAAATCTACTACACGTTACAACGATTAACCCATTTGCGAGATTAACCATCGAGAAGTTGAATATTCCGCAAATAATTTATATAATCTACTCTGTAACACACGGGGAATAATCTGCGGATAGAAACGATCGACTGAAAATTTCATATTTATTAATATTTCACATTATCGTTTATTTCGCATTTATTAAAATACGTATTAGAGCGACATAACATATTTACGCAAATTTACGTATTTTTGAAAATTTAGTCGAAAAAAAAAAATAGATGTTCGATAGGAAATATTGATAAATTTACAAAATATCGCAGAAGATACTGCACTTGTATATATTCTTTTGATGCACACGCACTCTGTCCAATTTTGCACTTTAATAAATAAATAAATATAAAAGTAAAAAATAAAATAAATATAATAAATTATAAAAGTAAAAATAATGAATATTAATAAGTACAGTAAAAGTATATAAATTTTAATAAGTGTAACAAAATATTATAATAATATATATATATATATATATAAATATTATATACTTTTACTGTACTTATTAATATTCATTATTTTTACTTTTATAATTTATTGTATTTATTTTATGTTTTACTTTTATATTTATTATACTTTACTTTTATATATATAATATAATATAAATTATTAGTATAATAATATATAATATATAATATAATAATATATATATATATATAAATTATTTAAAATTACTTATAATAATATATATATATATAAATTATTATTAGTATAAACTAATAAAAGAGTATATTACAAAAAATGTAATAAAACACAATCAATTGCATCACAATTTGAAGGTCGTGAGTGATTTGATGAACCGATGTTCAGACTGTGCAAACTTCGACGATACGAACCGGCCGTTAAATTTAACCGTGATGCAAATAGGGTTAGCACGACTGCGGATAGAAATATTATGAAACAGAAATGGAGAGATGACTTCTTCGAGTTGAGAAACGAAGAGAAACAGACTATCTGTGAAACCGAGCGGTTTGAAAATTTGCAGCCTCTCTCGTCGAGAAACAATCCGACTGCTATACACATAAGCTGCAGCAGAGAGTTATTCATTTCCATTACAGTGATTGGCACCTTGCGAGACGAATTGGTTCCCATCGGGGCCGGAATTTCTCCTTGAACGCAGCCCGAGAAAACGTTTTTACTTGTCCGCCCGTCAAATAACCACGAAATGCATCGTGCATTAAGTCGATCGTATGTCTAGCACACGGCTTGAAATGCACTCGTATGTGTGTGTGTGTGTGTGTGTGAATCTTTTCTTCTTTTTCCTTGAACATTCGTCGACAGTAGCAATTTTTAAATGGGAATCTCGAGAGGCAGGGAAATATGCAAATGACTGATAATGATAAAAATATATGAGATCCCGAGTATTTTAACGCGCGGCAGGAAATGGGCTAACACGTATAAAAGTGAATGAGAATTTTTATACCATCGTAGGTGAAAACTAGCGAATAATTCGAAGCGTGATGCCTGGAGATGAGTTTAAATTTCACATTTTATCGCTGAGTAAAATTTAGAGGAACGTCAATGAAGAGTCTGATATTTTCGCGCACGGCGAAGTCCGACTTCGAAATTTTATTAAATTAACTCTCTCCTCGTGGGCTGTCGATCATTCGAATTTGCAACGAAAATTCACGCACGCGCATAAACGTGAACGTTCCGCCTCTGAAAATTTCTGCAGATCGCCGACTCGAGAAGAAAAAGAAATCTCAACCTTTGTGTTTTTGAATCTGTCGAGAGTCGATTAAATTGATTTGGTGACCTTGACTAAGGTTTCATTCAACTCCACGTTACGAATATCTTTTCTTTTTGTTTTTTCTTTTTTTCTTCATATATGAAAAGTGACAGTTTAAAATGACAGTGTGCACGTTCAAGCGCAGTTAGTGTTACCGAGAAATTGTGTATCTTGACTACCTTGGCATTAATTTTTCACATGAGTGATACACCACGATTGTGAATGGCCGCCATTTTGGTACACACAATATTTTCTTCCGATAAATTCTGCATAGTGATTTTCGTATGTGAAAGAAAGTTCGGGCTTGAGATTCGTCGAGAACGTTGAGAAATATTATTATGCAAATCAGCCACGTAAGTTCACCTAGATCCGAATCGATTTACTGGAAAATTATCCCTCCGACGATGTCGAATATAGCGTTTCGAGAAACGAGGCGCACTCGTCATTTCCATTTCTGTTCGAAGTGCGTCCGAGCAGGAACAAAAGAGAGAAAGAAGAACCGATGAGAATATTATTATACGCGGTAATTTCGACATCGATTGCACGTCATTTCTGGCCGAGCAAATAATTGGCGGCAACCACGGTGCCGGAATGTATTATTATTACGGTGCCGAACAGCGAAAGTTGCGGCCGCGTGATCATTCTCATTGCTTTTCCCTTCATTTCCATTCGGCGTCAAAAGCGTGCATTCTTCGTTCCTCGAGGAACCGAACGAAACTTCTCGCTGACCGAGATCAAACGCTCGAATTCGATTGACGGCGGATTGGGAAAAGGATTTCTCGTCGTTCTTTCCTTTTCCTTTCGTTTTATTTTCAAAAGCGAACTGCGAAGAAACGAGCGCGCTCGATGTTCTCCCTTGTTCTCCGGTTGCTCTTTTTTTTTTTTTTTTTAGAAGAGAATTAATTGGAATTTGATGTCAGTTAGATTCAGCTTTTTTTTTTTTTTTTTAAGAGGACTTAATTTTAAAAGCATGTCAAACAAAGAAGATTAACGATAAAAAATACACGAGGGTGAAATTAAAATATTTAAGCGAAAAAAGACCGAAGAATGAACGAGAATTCAATGTTTCCGCTGAATTAAATGCAAATGTTTGAATGTCCCGCCGATTGAAAAGGTATTTATTAAAACGTCAAGATTAAATTTCGCGGCCGAAAGTAATTGCGCGGAGAACGACGCTCATTAAATGAATTTACGTTAATTAATTCTACGAATTAAAATCAAGGTTCGAATGTTCGTACACAATTGAAAAAGATAGTTACTCATTGAGAACGATTGATTTGACAGTGCAATTATATAATGTACAATTATATATAAAATTATATGAAATTAATTATATTAAATAAAGTATAAATAGATCATTGTTCTCTCAAACACTTTGACGCCCGAATATTAACAGAAGTCGCGCATCGTATATAGTTTCGAACACGTTGCGCGGAAAAATTTCTAAAATTTGATATGCAGATTTCATACGTGGCGATCCCTCTGGAAAAATTTACAAGTATAATTCCGAGAAAGCGGATACGTATGTACGTCACTTTCCGAGCCATTGTTGAAAAACAGAGGGAAAAGAACAACGAACGAATGAAAGTTGAAACGTTGAAATTTAAGGGGAAATTCGTTGGCCTGGAATTCAACGAACACATGTATTCCTTCAGAGTGAATTCAAAAAATTAAACCAGAGATAAGGTGTCAGGAATCGAGTTAAACTAACGAGAACGAGGTAGGATGACCAGCGAATAAAAATAATTCTGAAACACGATGCGGACGACACGACACGGAGTGATTTTTGCAGGTGCTGAGAGAAGAATTGTTTATTCTTTGCCTCGCTTCCCTTGATAAACGCTCGGTGGGGAGAACGAAACCTAAAAATACGGGAAATCTCCAAAACCGGTCGTTCGCGGTGCTGAAACTGCGCGACAACGTGCAGGGGTGCGTTTATAATTTACGACAAGATTCCTCCGGGAAAGAAAAATAAAAAAAGAAAAAAAATGAAATATAGAATAGAGAGAGAAACTTTGGAGAGAAACTCGAGTACAGAGATTTGTCGAGCTTCAGTCTAGTTCTGGAAGCGAGCATATTTTCGTTTTCGTTAGAACGCTACGTTCCCGAGAAGATGAAATTTGTATATTTATCAGCAATATTTCATAATTTTTAGTAAAATATTTGCTAGTAAGTTTTAGTAAAAATATTTAGTAATATTTAATAGTAATATTAGTAATTGAATATTTATTAATAAGCGCACGTGTGTACCAGGGCCAATTTTTAACTGAACCTACTTAAGATGTCAGTTAAAACTGTTTGAAATTTTCGAAAAATCCTCATTCTGAAAGCTTTTTCTTTCACTCGCGATTTCTCGCTGAGTCGTCCTCGCAAATCGTTTCCTCCCAAATTATTTTTCACTCCGTGTCAAAAACTCTGTCCGCTGGTACCGTGAACTGTTACCAGAACGCTCGACACATCTACGAAACAGTGTAACTTTGTCGCGAGACCAAGAGATTCGGACGACGCCACTTACGTATTCCACCCTGTGTACACACACACAAACAAACACACACACAACCACACGTACATATGTACACCGTTGCAAGTATCGAACGTCTAAACTCGCGAAATTAGCGGTTCGTTAGCCAGTTCGTTAGTCGATTACCACCCTTGGCTCGAACTTAAAACCGACGCCGCGTGCAAATTCTCAGCTGATTGCGAAACGCGTATTGATCGCGACCAGTGCAACTCGCTGTGCACAGTAGCGATCAATCGTCAAAGCTGTCAAAGCTGTCAGAGATATTTCCCCTTATGGTCCCTTTGGCCATTCACGGATTCACGAACGCGTTTCGGAGGTAAGCGATCTTCGTCGAATACGTTTCGTCGAACGCGCGTGCAACTCACTCACCGTTCTCCACGTTCAACTCCGCGGCGGTTCTATAAGTGACGGGCCTGGCAAAGTCGCTGGCGTCGCTCGGGTGCAGCAACAGCTGATGGGACGCCCTGGAATGGTGCCTCGACGTGGACGCCCGGTGCATGTGAACACTGTTCAGGACGGTATTGCTGGAGGCACGGCTGAGCGCCTCCCTTTGACGGACGGCCTCCTTGTAGATCTTGCAGTACATCACGATCATCACGAGACCGGGGATCCAGAAGGAGACCGAGGAACTAATCACCGCGTATGGCCGGTTCACCTCGAACATGCACACCTGAGTCACCGACACACGTTCCACACGCCTACGTTTCAATTCAATTTTCTTTCCCTTTCTCCATCGTGCATTTTTTTCGCGTTGTTATTGTTAACCGATACATTTTGCATTATTATTATTATTATTTTTTGACGACGAGAATAGTCAGGCAATCGTGAGATATTTTTGTAACAAAACAGTTGCGCGTTATTCCTTTTCTAATGAAAGAGTTGCATGCTATATTTCATTAGGTGGAGTTAAAATTCGAAAAAGAGTTGCATACTGTTGTTAGTATTATTATTGTTTGATAAAGAGAACTTTCAAGAAATCGTGGTGTAATTTGTAATAACTTCACGCTATTCTTTTTCTGATAAAAAAGTTGCATGCTATGTTTTATTAGGTTAGGTTAGAATTTAAAAAAGAGTTGCATACTGTTATTAGTATTATTATTGTTTGATAAAGAAAACATTCAAGAAATCGTGATATATTTTGTAATAAAGCAATTTCACGCTATTCTCTTTGCAATAAAAGAGTTGCATGCTATGTTTTGTTAGGTTAGGTTAGGATTTAAAAAAGAGTTGCATACTGTTATTAGTATTATTATTGTTTGATAAAGAAAACATTCAAGAAATCGTGATATATTTTGTAATGAAACAATTGCACACTATTCCTTTTGTAATAAAAGAGTTGCATGCTATGTTAAATTAGGAGTTAAAAAAGAGTTATTATTATTATTATTATTATTATTATTATTATTATTATTATTATTATTATTATTGTTTAATAAAGAGAATTTTCAAGAAATCGTGATGTATTTTCTAATAAAGCAATTGCACGCTATTCCTTTTGTAATAAAACAGTTGCATGCTATATTTTATTAGGTTAGGTTAAGATTTAAAGAAGAGTTGCATACTATTATTATTATTATTATTATTATTATTATTCAATAAAGAGAATTTCTAAGAAATCGTGATTTTGTAATAAAAGAGTTGCGTGCTATATATTTGCATTTTATTAGGTTGTGAGGTTACGTTGAGAAAATTAAGATTTAAAGAGGCGTTTTAACGAAGAGAATTTCCAAGAGATCTTGATATATTTTGTAATAAAACAGTGGCAGGCTATATTTTGCATCTCATCAGGTTGCAAGATTAGGTTAAGAGTGTTAAGATTTAAAGATGAGTTGCATACTATTATCGTCATTATTATTATCATTATTCAACAAAGAGAATTTTCAAGAAATCGCGATATATCTCATAATGAATGAGCTTGCATGCTATCCCTTTCCCCCTTTCCCAATTTATTCTCCCTCGTGGAAGCAAAAGCATATTGGAACTGAACGAGATTATCGTCCTCTGATATATTACTTCGATCACGGTTAAACTGAATTGCGCATAGTTGCGATCTTGTCATGCAAAACTTTGGCGGGAGAATATCTCCCGATAAATCAGTTAACAAACTATATCTGATACATCCGTGTATATCAGATATCTTTGAGAGAGAGGTAGACTTTTTCTTTCTATTGGAATTTCTTTTTTGTTTCTGGTGGTGAGGCGAGGTCGAAGCTTCGACTGATTTGAAAATTGGAAAATTCCAATACGTCGGGGCGCCGCGGTTAGGTTCCCTCCCCACTTTTTGCCCTGTCGCGTTCTCCGATCGACTGGAAATTATATCTGTCACGACTAGAACTCGCAAACAACTCCTACAACTTCGTAACTTTGTCGAAACAATTAAAATCGGAAGAAAGAAGAGCGCGTAATCACGCTGAAATGAAGAACTTGCTTCACCCACGTTCATTCTGCTCTGCGATATATTTTGCACGTCAGCTAATGAGCAGTTCAACGTTTTACGCTTAAAATAGTCTCGCTTCTTCAAATCAAATTTCCCTTAAATCAAGTCCCGCCTCTTTCCGGCATCTGCTTCGTGTTTTCAAAAGAGATCCTGTATTCTCCTTTTTTTTTTCTTTCTTTGTTTCTGACAGCGAATTCGACTAATTTGATTGAAAAATCTGGTAACTCTCAGGCTGGCTGGACTCCTTCTGTGGAATCTCTCCCTTTGAGATTTCGGTCGACCGCGGTTCAATCTCTAATTGAGCCGGCCCGTAACGGAATTTTCCTGACGTTTCAGCCGGATTGGATTCATTCCGTTGACTTCGGACATCGGTCGAGGAACGCACTTAACAAATTGCTCGCTGCGTATGCAGAATTTTTGAGAGAAAGGAAACTCCGCGTCGCGATTATCCTCACGCGAGATCCTCGGTCTCGATTCGACTTCAACTTCGCCCACGGAGCGAAGTTTTTCTTTCCCTCGGCTCATCATCGTCAGGGGAATTTTTCCTCTTTTTTTGAACTTCGGTGCTCTCGACCAACTCCTCGGCTTCCCGACCTCGTTAATGTTTTTTCCCTTCCAACATTTCGCCCGAACTCGCGCAACTTTCCAACGGTGGTACTTAATTGGGCAAGTTTTAAGGCGCTGTTGATCATTCTGTCACTTCAAACCGTCCCAAAATCGCTTCGCCTCTGTTTCCACACGTCAGCGTTCTTTCGAAATGTATTTGTGAGTGTCGTTGGATGAGCGAAAGTCTTTTGTCTATAGTTATGAAGTCTATGATATGCGAGAGCCCCGTTCTAGCGTAAATGATGAAGAATGTTTCGAAGAATGTTTCCTGGAGCAGTTAGTCGTTACAGAAGAGATAGGTGAAGCGAGACACTGAACGGGAAGAAAACAGAAGAGAGTGTAAAAAGAAACTAATTTGTCATTTCAATATTATAATATTTTGCATTTATTGCGATATATTATCTTTTGTGTAAATATACTTTCTGTTTCTTCGTTGAAAGACAAAGATACCATTTTACAGGTATCCTCCATAGTATCCTCTCCTTTCAAGTTTTCACAAATTGTCGACGTGAAAATTACTGGAGGAGGAAAGCGCTTGAAGGAAGAGGGTGGACACGTTTGAAACTGACTTTACAAAACGTTCCAGAATTTACGTTCGAGAACAGAGAGCCGAAGACGAAAGATCAAGCGCACGAAAGGTCGAAGAGGCTGGAACGTGATAACGCAACAATTTTTTAATCAATGAAACCCGCAGGAACCGCACGAAGCGCATAAATTTTCGAACGGGACAAAGGAGTTATTGTGAGGGGGGACAAAGAAATGGGAAAGTCGGAGCCACCGACAGAATTTTCGATTAACAGAGCCGTTCCATTGTGCCGTTCGGTTCATTGTGCCCGCTGCATTATAGCGGCGATATATTTCGATCTGACGTTTTGCTTCCTTTCTGCAGTAGGGACCTCGATTAATCAAGAGCCGGGGGCTTCGATTTATCGGCGAATGACGAACCAACCATTCGTTACTTCTGCACGTGGATTATAAATAATTGGAAAGTCTATTGTCCCCGGATTATCGACAACAAACTTTATCCTTCTACTCGTCGTTACATTGATTTTATTTCATTCAGCGGTGAAATAATGTAAACAAATGACGACGACAGTCGTAACATAGCTTTTCTTCTCTAGCCATTAATAAGCTAGTAAGGCTTGTTGCGCTCTTTTCGTTTGTCACTAGATCAGGATCAAATTTTTATGGACACTGGACAAGGAAATTTAAGTAGCTTAAGAAATTCGTTTCTACTATTCCCAACTATTCCAACGTGTAATTCTACTTTCGATATATTTTGTACACTTTCGCACGTTGCGCGCGAAATGTTCTCCATTTTCTTTGCATCTTTCAGCTTCCCATAAGAATCCCGTGTTCGCTTCACTGTATTTGTTCTTAGATTCTATTTTTCTCCTTTCGTTCCTTCTTCACCTTTGTTGTAAAAAGGGAAGAATTCTTCTCGCTCATTCGAAATAAGCAAATAAATTCATCAAGTCATCACTTCGACACGACCGACGAGAAAAGTGTCTGAACTCTTGGAAAATAATTAACGCCGAGCGAATTTTTTTCTGTTCAGCGAAATTTGCTTCAGAGGAACACCTTGTGCCAAGAATATCTCAAGAAAATTCTCCTCCATTCATCTCCGCGGGAGATGGAGAGAGTAACGCGAGAAAAGTTGAAGAAGAAGAATCGAAACAGCCGATATTATTAAACGAAATCCGGGTGGCAGATTAAGGAAGATTGAAAAACTAGAGATAGAAAGAGAAAAGAGAGACGGGTTAATGGCACGATAGGGAATTAAAAATAAAACAGAGCGTAGCGATATCCACGACTGAGACAAGGAAATTGAAAGTAAAGAGGTAAGAAGTTAATAACGAATACGACGAAATCGAAAATAAACGCCAGAATCAATTTAAGAATGAGGGGGATATAAATGGCTAAAGCTAAGAGATTATGAATAAAGGCTAACGCGGCGGGATAAAAATACCGCGAACGAACACGTAATGCATTCAGTTCCGAATGAAATCGACGATGAACGGAGACGAAATGTCTGATGAAGTTTGTCGAGAAATGAATCGATGATGAACAAAACTGTACGAGTTGTTGCTAATTCAAAATAAACTTCCGAACGATGATTAATATAGTATAATATTATAATATTAACACGTTAAGTGCTCAAGTGTCGGTCACAATGAAAGAAATTTAATTAAACAATTTTTAATTTAAGAGAGACTTTAAGAATATTGCTTTTGTTGATATTTATTATACAAACGGTATACACTCATAATAACTCAATAGTAATTTTAATGCTAACTTTCTACTTATATCTCTTCCCAGCAGTGTTTCATTTCCTTCATAACAATCTTTGCAAAATTTTTCTGAACTGGGATCTTGCGTTTCGTTCGCCGCAGAGTTGTATCGAACGGCTGATAAACGAAAAGATAACGAGGTATTAACGTGTTAATATAATAATGAATAGCGAAAGTTGACCGAAAAATCGAATAAAATGTGAAGTAAATTTTCTCGAATCACTTGAATAGTTAACAAATCTCCACGATCATCGTTCTCGACGAGAATTGTGAAATATCTGACGCAATAAAATTCTCCTAAATCCTATGTTTCTAACCAGAGTCCTTCGAATTCGAAAAATTGCAAGATTGTAGGACAAAATTCAGACTATACATATCACACGATATAATACTACAGTGAAAATAAGAATAAAATGTGAAGTAAATTTTCTCAAATCACTTGAATAGTTTACAAATCTCCACGATTATCGTTCTCGATGAGATATCCGACGCAATAAAATTCCCCTAAATTTTACGTTTCTAACTAGAGTCCTTCGAATTCGAAAAATTGCAAGATTGTGAGGATAAAATTCAAACTATACATATCACACAATATAATACAGTGGAGGTAAGAATAAAATGTGAAGTAAATTTTCTCGAATCACTTGAATAGTTTACAAATTTCCACGAGCATCGTTCTCGATGAGATATCCGATGCAATAAAATTCCCCTAAATTCTACGTTTCTAACTAGAGTCCTTCGAATTCGAAAAATTGTAAGATTGTAGGACAAAATTCAGACTATACATATCACACAATATAATACAGTGGAGGTAAGAATAAAATGTGAAGTAAATTTTCTCAAATCACTTGAATAGTTTACAAATTTCCACGAGCATCGTTCTCGATGAGATATCCGATGCAATAAAATTCCCCTAAATTCTACGTTTCTAACTAGAGTCCTTCGAATTCGAAAAATTGTAAGATTGTAGGACAAAATTCAGACTATACATATCACACAATATAATACAGTGGAGGTAAGAATAAAATGTGAAGTAAATTTTCTCAAATCACTTGAATAGTTTACAAATTTCCACGAGCATCGTTCTCGATGAGATATCCGATGCAATAAAATTCCCCTAAATTCTACGTTTCTAACCAGAGTCCTTCGAATTCGAAAAATTGCAAGATTGTGGGGATAAAATTCAAACTATACATATCACACAATATAATACAGTGGAGGTAAGAATAAAATGTGAAGTAAATTTTCTCGAATCACTTGAATAGTTTACAAATCTCCACGATTATCGTTCTCGACGAGAATTGTGAAATATCTGACGCAATAAAATTCTCCTAAATCCTATGTTTCTAACCAGAGTCCTTCGAATTCGAAAAATTGCAAGATTGTAGGACAAAATTCAGACTATACATATCACACGATATAATACTACAGTGAAAATAAGAATAAAATGTGAAGTAAATTTTCTCAAATCACTTGAATAGTTTACAAATCTCCACGATTATCGTTCTCGATGAGATATCCGACGCAATAAAATTCCCCTAAATTTTACGTTTCTAACTAGAGTCCTTCGAATTCGAAAAATTGCAAGATTGTGGGGATAAAATTCAAACTATACATATCACACGATGTAATACTACAGTGGATGTAAGAACATTTCCAATGGACGTAGAAGCGAAGATCGTCCTCGGCCTCGGGCGCTTTATTGTCCGAAGCAGTCGCGACAAACGACGTCGTTGGGAGCAGCCAGACCTCGGAAAGTAATGAATTTACCCGGTACGTGGATCCTTCGGACGTCGGTTTCTCTGTCTCGGGCTGTAATTTCGCGGGGGGTTAAATTATAATAACGCAAAGCCGCGCGACCGCCATTTGCGTCAGTGTGTAGACGCGTGGCTTAACTGGGTTAACAGACGTGCGCTCGAGTTCGAACAAAGTTATAAGTGCTCGAATGCACGGACGAGAGGCTATAATGCAACGGGATACGACTTCGGAATATATATATAATAACAGGACGGTGTTGTTTCGTAGCTGGCCGCTTCTCCGGCTGTGTTTGAGCAAGAAGCATTGTGCAGCTGGCGAAGATGTTCCGCCCTCTTGCCACCGTGTCAAGGGAACAGAGCTATGATTCAAATGGCTCGTTGTCTGTTAATTCGCTTCTACGTCGTTCGTTTCTCTCGCAGCTGCATTGTTTCGCCGAGCGCCGTCAATACTTTATCAATTCCCTTTCGACGGATTTTACGAGTCGTTCGAGAAGATTTTGTTCCACTGGTTTCCCGAGTCGCAATTTCGTGAAATTTTCGTGAAATTCGAAATCTATGTACCAAGAGTTGGTGAAACAAACTTCGACAATGTGAAACATTTTCACAAACGTATCTAAACACGTATGTATGTATGTATGTATGTATGTATGTATGTATGTATGTATGTACGTCCGCGTAACAAAGATAAATAGAGACGAGGAAATAGAATGGACGAGATCGAAGATCGAAACGAAATTCCGACGGCGCCCGACACTAGAATCATCAGAGCAGCTATTAATCCCGAGTTCCTGTTGGCAGCTTTATACTTTCATTCGCTGATGTACCAGCCGGAACAGGGCGGGAAATCATCTCTATGCAAATTTTCCAAGACCCTGTTCGTCCACCCCGCGTTCTCTCTTTTCATCCCGGCGATTCGATCCTCCACCGGATTGAAAATTCCGGCCACTCAAGTCGCGCGCGCGCGTAAATACCCGATTAAATATTCCATTAACCGGCGACGACAGGAAAATTGAACGGCCGGTTATCGGAGGCGTTCCCTCCTTCCGATCGGCGTGTAGAAACGAGCACGGACTACAAGCTCGCGTAAGCAATAAGTAAGCAGCGGCCGCGAATCTCCCGCGTGGAACGAATCGAATCGAGGAAAGATAAAAATCGGTAAGATTGTAAGTCTAACATGAGTCTGAATTTGTGAATCTTTGTTCAACTTGAGATTGACTTTGGGAGGAAGGCGGACGTGAAAACACTTTTGTGTCGATGAAACAAACGGTAGATCGTTCCTAACCTCTTGGCTAATGTTGGCTACTCGCTATAGGTGCTCATTTCACATTGCTCGAATCAAACTGGCATATGTTATTGATAATAATTGCAATAAAAAAATAAATGAATTCCAATTTAATAATCACACCTTAGTTGTTAGTTGTATATTATTTAAACGTGATTATTTAATGTATTATTATTTACATTATAACATAAATATTAGTGATAATATATATATAAATATAAATAAATAAATATAAATATATAAATAATATAAATAAATATATATAAATATATAAATAATATAAATAAATATATATAAATATATAAATAATATAAATAAATATATATATATATATATATATATATATATATATATATAAATGTTGGTGACAATAATTGCAGCAAACTTCATTTGGATCAGACGTAAATAAATTCTACTTCAATAATTACATCTTCCCTTGATTATATATTATACAAACGCGATTATTTTACAATTATTTCATTTACCCTTAAAATGAAAAAGTGTGGTGATAAATTAATCACAAAAAAATACAAAAATATGTAGCGATAAATATGTAGAGAACACAACGAGAAAGAAGAGAGACACATTACGAATGCAAAGAAAATTATGTTTCGAATTGTATACACTTTACTAAATTATTAGATTGTGAAATGAAGCTTAAGGTTACTGTTAAATTTTTAGTACGTGTACTAACAATTCATTAATAAATAATATATATGTATATATAACCTAGTGCATAATTCAGTGTTTTTATTATTTCAAATATACTTCTTGAGAAATGTACACTAAAATTTCTCAATCCCAAAGTCTTTCCAACTGGACAAAAAGAAAAACTTAATTGAACCTTGTATGAACTTCCAATAGATTCTTGCGTGAGAAGACGTTCTTGACGAAAATATCGAGAACCTTGTTGCGTTCGCTGATCGAAAATTAATACTCTAGCAACCACTGATAGAATTTCGACGTAACAGACGACGCGTAAAAGAATCGGTAGCTTCGACAAGAGAGGAGATTTCATCTTCAACCACTACGGGGCAGTCGGGAATTATCATGCTCTAGAAACTTTGACTTCAATATTCGCTGGAAGAGCGAAGAACAGTGGTGTGCTTCTCCATTTTCGTAATACTCGGGCGTAAATGCACTCTCTCGATGAAGAGAGCGAAGATGAACAGGATGACCAAGATAGACTGAAACGTAAAACCAACGAGACGAAATCGCGTAAAAATTGATAAAATCTTCGACAGAGGACTTCTTCATGATCTTCGACACAGTCTTCTCCATTCGCCGGAGAATCTTCCTCACCACCAGACAAAAAAGAATGAAAAGAAAAAAAGAAAAAAGCAATCCAATCAATTCTGTCAACATCTTCAGAAAACATCTCAAAGACTTGGCTAGCTTAAAGATCTCGAAGGATCGTTTGAGGATCGAGCGTCTCTACCTGAGGATTCTTCCTCAGCTCCTCCAAATGTTCCTCGGTGGTGTACCAGCCCATGAATATCGGTATGAAACTGATGAGAGCAGGCAGAAGCCAGGCGCTGCCCAGCATGCAAGTGACCGTGATCCTCCTCATGATGGCGGGATACTCGAGTGGCCGGACGATCGCGTAGTACCTGTCCACGCTGATGCAGCATAGGTGAAGGATCGAGGCGGTGGAGAAGTAAACGTCCAACGAGCTCCACACGTCGCACATCACCCTCCCGAACATCCACTGTCCGGTCAGCTCGACCGACGCGTTGAAAGACATGGCGCAAACCGCGACGAGGAAGTCCGCCGCCGCCAGGCTCACCACGTACCGATTCGTCGGCACGCGGAGCTTCCGGTGCCGCCTGACGCTGGCGATCACCAACACGTTGCCAACCAGAGCGGTCACGATGATGCTGATGATCACCACGCCCTTCACCGCGGTCCAGATGATGGTCGCTGGCTGGTAAGCGTCCGCGGAAGCGTTGAACGTGTCGCGGACGCTCGAGTTGAGCGACTCGGAGAGGCGCTCGATGCCGGAAGTCGTGCTGAGACTGTCTATCGATCGGTCCACGTCCTCGTCCGGTGGCTCACTGACTTCCATTCCAGCGCGCACTGCCTCTCTGCATGTCTACACGCCTGGAAACCGTTCGGCCACAGTCCGTTGTTCGAGCGCAACAACCATCGTTCCCCGACGCACCAAGATGCAAGACCACCGCCGATGATGGAAGAGTGTGCACCGACGTACCCGAGTATCGACGTGCATCTCGCGGTATCGAGGCTTACGAAGATTTCGAGTTCGACTTGGCTGCGGCAAGTTCGCGGATCGAGCTTGTTCCAGCTGATATCTCGTTACCGTGATGGTCGAAGACCACGGTGTGTCTCGGAACTTCGTGGCGCCCCTCGTGCGGTGGAGCGAGCTGAATCAGAGATATCTCGTCTCGGTGATGGATTCGAAGGACGAAGAGTTTTGTTCGAATTTTACTTTTTTTTGACTCTGACAGTACGTATCTTTCGTGCCTGCTCTATCGTATATATTTACCAGAGAGTTACTATTTTATCTCGTTGTCAAAGATTCTAAACTCTTTTCGCCGATGATGCAAAGGAGGAGATTCCGAAGAAAAAGCAGTACGCGAACGCGGACTCTATTTCCAATGCTCGCGTGAGTCGTAACTGTTGCAATTGTCAGGAAGATGGAGCATATAATGGTCCATTAGATCTCAAGTTAACGAAGCGAGCGTATACGCAGAGACACGAGGAATAGCAAGAATTTTTCCACGATAGAAGCGATGACGCTTAAAAATTTTACTACTCGGTAATAAACTCGGGTCGAGATCAACGCCAATTTCGGGATTCGTCAGCTGAAAGAGATAGGGGACACAGTTTACTTCCGGTTCAATTTCCAATATGCATCAAACGTACGAACTCGGAGACCCGATACGGTTTCCAATAAAACAGGACATTACACTAGGATAGGATCCGCGTTCGCGTGCAACATTTTCCTGTCGCGAAACTTTGCAATTGAACAAGAGGGTTATCCTCTTGCAGAAGGAGAGAAGAAAATGCGATAAAAGTGGATATCTTAACGCGTTGACTGCCAGCGTGACCATTTCTTTTTTTTTCTTAGATATTTAGAATAGAATTAAAACAAAATGAATGAAAAATTAAAAAGTCTACTCGTCAGTAATAAAAAATTTCGAACATCACAGCCAGCTAGGCAATATTTTATAATACAGACCATCTGGGGCCATTATTTTGTTCAGATGTTTAGGATAGAATTAAAACAAAATGAATGAAAAATTAAAAAGTCTACTCGTCAGTAATAAAAAATTTCGAACATCACA